TCCCTCCGCTCAGTCTGGAGCAGCCCTGCCCCATCAAACGCGGTGTAACTGCCACTGCTTTACCACTGGGTTTGCAAAATTGCTCATTCCTCCTCTCGTTGCAGCTCAGGTCTGTGCCACGCTCACCCCTCTCTGGCCACTTTGCCTTCATCTCTCTAAGATCAGGCTCTGGACATCACCAGGCACAGGGAAGGAGGTTTGTGTTCAAGGGGAATGAATTCCCTTTCCAGCTCAGGACAGCACTTAGTGGGCAGTGCCATGCCCAGGGCTGGGGTGTCAGTGACAGTCTGGGGGTGCAGACACACACGTGACAGGACAGATCCTGCACCCCAGCCCTGTGGCTCCAGGGGATGGTGAGTCTCAGGGACCAGGTTGTGTCAGACCCTGAGCAGAGTAACACACTTCATGACTGCAAGGGTTTTGTTTGGAAAACAGGGAATATCTCTTTCTCTGACTCTTTCTTTAGCTAAATAGATCTGACAGAGCAACACTCCAGAGAGGTCCGTAGTTCCCTGTGCCACTTCCCCTCATGCCTGGCACCCTGCCCTGCCAAGGGAGGTGCCTGGCCAAGAAGAGCTGTGTCAAAAAAAAGTGTTTGCTTATTGCCAGGAAAATGGATCCCACTGACCCCAGGGAGCCACTGCTGCTGCTGCAGGGGGGCAGAAGAGTCCAATCCCCCTTAATTGGGAGGGTTGTTGTCCTTTGTGATGACAACGGAGTGCTTTGTGGTGGAGGAGGAGTTGCCAGCACCCTTCTGGCCACCATGGTCCTTGGGGATGTATTTGACCACAGGCCACTTCTGGCCACCGTGGTCCTTGGGGATGTATTTGACCACAGCAGAGATGAGCTTGCTGCGGAAGTTCTTGCTCAGGAAGTTGTAGAGGATGGGGTTGACAACGCAGTGGAGCATGGTGAAGCAGTCTATGATGTCGTAGAAGAAGTAGAGGAAGTGGGCGAAAGTGCAGTTGAGGATGATGTAGTTGCCTTCAAGGGTCACTTCTGGCCACCGTGGTCCTTGGGGATGTATTTGACCACAGCAGAGATGAGCTTGCTGCGGAAGTTCTTGCTCAGGAAGTTGTAGAGGATGGGGTTGACAACGCAGTGGAGCATGGTGAAGCAGTCTATGATGTCGTAGAAGAAGTAGAGGAAGTGGGCGAAAGTGCAGTTGAGGATGATGTAGTTGCCTTCAAGGGTCAGCAGTATCAGCATGACATGGAAGGGCAGCCAGCTGATGAGGAAGACCACGATGTAGGTGTAGATGAGCAGACAGTGCTTTCGGCTCTCGGGCTTGGTGCGCTTGATGAACCGTGCCGTCAGGATGTTGAAAATGGTGATGATGGGGAAGGGGATGAGGAACCCGATGGTGGTGGTGGCAAAGCTGACCGCCAGCGCCCACTTGTCATAGGTCTCAAAGGGGGCCATGAAGATGCAGATCGGTTCTCCGGTATTGACCAGCTGCATGTGAGCAACCTCCAGGAATGGGACGGTGGCAGCCAGGACCCAGCTGAAGGCACAGATGATGCGGCGTGCACGGTGCTGGTGCCGGTGCCAGAAGAGGGAGGAGCTGGTCAGGGTCACATAGCGATCCACACTCAGGCAGGTGAGGAATAAGATGCTGGCATACATGTTGGCAAAGTAGAAGTAGTGGGTGAAGCGGCAGAGGAAGCTGCCCCAGAGCCAGGTGTAATCCAGCATCACCTCCAGCATCCAGATGGGCAGCGAGAGCAGCACCCCGAGGTCAGCAATGGCCATGTTGATGATGTAGAGGTTGACCAGGTTCTTGTTACCCCGTGTCTGCCAGTTGACCCAGATGACAAGGAGGTTCTCCACCAAACCCACCACGAAGATGACAAGGTAGAGGATGAAGAGGATCACCCTCTTGACGTTCTCATCAAGGCTGAACTCGCAGTAGGTATAGGTCTGGTTCAGGAGGTGGATCAGCTCGGACCAGTTATGGTAGTCCCCATACTCGTTCGGGACGGTGTGTGTCTCAGTGAGGGCTGTGGTTACCTCGGCCATCCTGGTGGCTGCAGGGAAAGGGAGAGCACTGAGCTAGGCAGCCTGAAACCACAGAGTTCTGTCTTCGTGGGGGCTTGGAAAGACCCTTCTGGAGGTTTAACCAAATTTTTACTCCCTACAGCAACTGCCAAACGATAGCACATCAACCCAGGCAATCTCCTCACATCCTAGACTAAAAAGTCTTGTGTGGTGGCTGTTCCCTGTCTCACAGCCAGGTCCAGGGCACAGGCAGGTGTCCAGGGCATGGGCAAATGCCTGGGCTGTTAAATGCAGGGGGAAGCCCATGTCCCCTGGCTGAGCCCTCAGAGCACAGACGCTTGCTTACTGTCCTCGCTCTGCCTGTCCCACAGCCATGTTGCTGGGAGCATTGGGACTTCCAAGTAGGTGACAAAATTATAAACTTAAGGGAAATACAGTTGACCTTAACATCCTTTTATTGCCCCAAGTGAGAGCTCTAATCCCAGCACAGCTGCATCCGCACAGTGCAAACGCCACGGATCCTATCCAGCCTCGTGCCGCTGGCAGAGCTCACGGGACCAGCCGTTCTCCTGGGAAAGCTGGAGGAGCGTGCCGTGCCACCAGGGCGGTTCCGCAGCACTCAGAGCCTGGTGAACCTGGAGCACCACAGCTGGGTGTCCCCCACAAAAACATCATCCCTGCGGCAAAGGCCTGTCACCCACCTGCTCCCAAACCATGGAGAGAGCCCCAGGGGCTGCACTCCCCATCCCTGGGGCTCTTCAACCTCCCACCCTCACTGCACCGTGGGTCCTGGGAGTCCGGAGAGATTTGGTACAGACAGAAAGGAGAGGGGGAAGGTGATCAGGAGAGGGGACAAATAGATGGGAGAGGGGACAGGCAGACATGAGGGAGGAGGGATGACATTGGCTCACCAGCAGCAGAGCAAGGGCTGCACAGGGACTGCTTGGGAGCACGACAATCCTCTCGGCTCGGCAGATCACGCACCTCTGGAGAGTGGAGCTACTGCGACGCAAAGCTTGGGGTGGGCCTGGTTGTTTCCCAGCAGGAAATGACCATCATGGTCTAACATCCTGAGACAGCCCAACGGGTGACATTTCACTGGATTTCCAGCCCTGGGGCTTGTCTCCCATTTGATTTGCCACAGGGCTGAGGCTGGGCGTGGTGAGGCTCTGGGCAGGGGTTGGTGTGGAAGCCACAGGTGCCAGGGGATGGAGCAGGGTCTCCAAGGCTTCCTGAGGGTACCCTCCACTGTCATCCCATTGGCTTGGAGGCTGGATCCTGCCCAGGTCCTGCTCTGGGGAAAATACAACCCCTGGGATGGACCCAGCACTGGGAATCGCACGGGTTGGGGTGAGCTATGGGCAAGATGCCACTGACTGTCCCTGATGCCACCACCATATCAGAGTGAGTTCAAGGTTTCTTTGGAGGGGAAAAGGTCTGAAAGCTGAACTCTCTGCCAGAGCAGCGCTGCCACCGGAGCCAATGGCAGATGGATGTTGCCACAGAAGCACCTCTGGCCAGGCAGCAATTAATTACCGAGCCGTGAATGCCCCATGGTCTGGCAGGGGAAGGGAGTGGGGCTGAGCTTTGCCCCAGCACTAGGGAAGGGGCTGATAGGCAGAAAATTTTGCATCAAGCTGCAAGTCCTGTGAAACAATTGCAGGAAGTCTCCTTTTTCGAGTGCAGACAAGACTTTGGGATCAACAATTGGCTTGGCAGGAAGGCACGGCCGAGGTGGGGAAGCACGAGGGAACTGATAAGTCGGGTCAGACAACATGAAATCCAGTGCTGGTGACCCCACACGCAGGTATTGGCCCCAGCAAGACCCAGGCTCTGGGTTCCAAACAGGAACTCAGCAGCTTCATGCTCACCCAGCACATACTTCAGCATGGCTGGGAAGGTGGTGAGGGGCCACTCTGCCACTGAGGGACTGGGGGCTTTGCCCCTCCAGGGGGACAAGGATGCTGTGCTGGTTCTGTTTCACAGATCAGGGAATTTCCACACTGAGAAGGACCTGGGTGCCATCAGGGGCTGCGCAGGAGCCTCTGCTCCCGGTGAGGACGGCGAGGTCTGGAACTTGATTATGTTTCCAAGCCAGCCAAGCCATGGGGAGAGGGGAAGGCAGCCAGGCAGCTCAGTCCCTTCTCCCCATCCCTGCCACGATCCTCAGGACAGCCTGAGACTCTCAGCACCCCAAATGTGTGGCCAGCAACCCGCAGCCTCCCACAGAGTCTGCAGAGGAGCTTCAGGCAGTGGCAGTGCTGGCAATCTGCCATTTGCCCTCCCTCCCTCCCTCCCTGCTTAGACAGGTGTCCCGGGGTGGGTGCAGCTGAGCTCCCGGGAGCTTGGCACGCTGCATCCCAGCTCTTGGGAATGTGTGGGGCTGGAACGTGACCTGTGGAGGTGGCTGGGGGTGTTGTACTGGTTTGCTAAACTGAGCAGAGTGTCTCAAAGAAGATTGCTTGTGTGGGGAAAGCACCTCGGCAAGATTCAACACAGCTTGTGCAAGGCTCTGTGTGCTGCCAGCATCTCACAGCAGTGCCTTGTTCCCCTGAGCCTCATCACAGCCCGGGGGTCACTGAGCCTGAGCTGGGGGGAGCAGGGCTGCTGCTCATGCTGCTCTGGTCCTGCAGGCAAGTGCACAGCCTCAGGGACCTGCTCTACAGCTACTGATCGCTAATCAGCCTTTAATTAGTGGGGCAAGTGATGCGAGGATCACTGCCCACGTGCCCAAGGAGCAGATAACAACGCACCACCTTTTCCAGCCTGTTCCCTGGCAGCTGAGCTGGGGCACTCCCAGGCATGTGGCTGCTCTGGGCACAGGTCTCAGCTGGGGTCCTGCCACAGGACCCCCCAAGTGGGGCAGGTCACCCAGCACCATAGCCAGGTGGCCATCGGACACCTCTGAGGCCAGAGCTTACCACGCACAGCCCCTTGTGTTGCAGCGGCTTTATTGAACACGTTTTCAGGGGCACGATCGTGTCCCCGCTCCAGTGAGATCCTCAGGGACGTGTGGGGATCCTGCTGGCTGGCCTGGGCTGAAAGAGGCCAAAGATGGTGTCTGAGAGCCAGGTCGGGCAGTAGCTGAGCGGCAGGAAGACGAGACGAGCGTCCCAGCCCACGGCATAGCGGCTGCGTGGGCAGCGCGAGAGCAGCGCGTGCGTCATGGCATCGGTGACCCGGGACAGGCGGGAGCTGGTCAGGCGGTGCAGCAGGACGATGCTCTTGGTGTCTGGAGGGAGAGACGGGGGGTCAGCCTGGTGTGGAGGGGTCACCAGGGGTGATGGCGCGTGCGGGGATGGACTCACAGCTGTCCAGGTAATGGCGGCCATAGTCTGCCTGGGTGTCTGCCGGGAGCTGCTCCCAGAGGCGAGTGAAGCATTTCACCAACGGCACAGGGTCCATGATCCCCGTCCGGAAGCCTCCAGGTTCGATGATGGAGACCTGCACCCCAAAGGGACACATCTCCTGCCTGCCCAGGGTGAGAACATCAGCTGGAGCTGCCATTCCGAGCCAGGCAGGGGCTGGGAGGATGAAGGGCAGCCTATGACCTCGCCAGGCACCCCATCATGAATGCAGGGGAGCCTTGTCCTTGCTCAAGGGCTGCTTGAAACCCTCCCCCTGATTGTACAACCACAGTTTCAGCTGTGTCCGTGGTCCCACCCCATGGGGTTTCACAACCTCTGTGGCAGGGATGTAACTGGGAGCCATATAAAACCCTGTGTGGGGGCAGCAGGGCAGGGCTGGGGGCTGCTGCATGAGCCCTGGCACAGGGAAGCACCGGGGGCCACCA